GATGGAGAAATAAGATACTTTCATGACAAAGATCACCTTAGGAACTTCATGAATACCAAACAAGCACACCAAAAAAATTTAAACAATATCCTAGGAAAAGACAATGAGGATCACAACCCCAGGAAGCCCAGCAGAATGAATCCACCAGGCACCCCAAGAAATTAAATGCAAAGGGGGAGAAACCAACAAAAAGAAAAAGTCATGAAAATGATAAGTCAATACATATCATTTATAACCATCAATGTTAATGGTCTCAATTCAACAATGAAAAAAAATAGCCTGGCAGATTGGGTCAACAAGCAAGATCCAACAATATGCTGCATACAAGAAACACACTTAATTCAAAAAGAAACTCATATACAGAAAGTTAAAGGGTGGAAAATAATACTCCATGAGACAGTAGCCAAAAAAAAAAAAAGAGCAGGAGTAGCTATCCTCATTGCACATCAAGTGGATTTCAAACCAACACTGATCAAGAGAGACAAAGAAGGATGCTACACCCTTGTAAAGGGAACAATCCAAGAGGCAGAGATGACAATTATAAACATATATGCACCAAACACTAGTGCACCCAACTATATAAAACAAATACTAATGGACATGAAAAATCAAATAAGCACTAATAGAATAGTAGTGGGGGACCTCAGAACCCCACTGTCACAAATAGATCAACTAGACAAAAATAAGCAGTGAAATACTAGAACTCAATCAAATTCTTGAATAAATGAACTAAACAGATGTTTACAGAGGGTTCCACTCCACAAAATCAGAATACACATTCTTTTCATCTGCACATAGATCATTCTCCAAAATAGACCACATATTCATTCATAGAACATGTTTAAGTAAGTGCAAAGGAATTGAAGTTATCCCCTATATATTATCAGACCATAGTGCAATGAAATTGGAGATTAATAGCAAAAGAAACTATGAGAATATCATAAACACATGGAAACTGAACAACAACCAATGGCTCACAGAGGAAATTAAAAAAGAAATCAGACAGTTCTTACAATTAATTGACAATGCCAATGCAATATATTGGAATCTATGGGACACAATGAAAGCAGTCTTACAAGGAAAATTCTTAGCAGTGAATACTCATATTAGGAAAACAGAGTGAGCCCAATTAAACAACCTGATACTGAACCTTAAGCTTTTAGAAAAAGAAGATCAGGACAAACCCAAAGCTCATACAAGGGAGGAAATTATAAGATCAGAGCAGAGATCAATGCAATGGAGAATAAGAGAACAATACAAAAAAAATCATTGAAGCCAAGAGTTGGTTTTTCAAAAGAATAAACAAAATTGACAAACCCTTAGACAACCTTATCATTAAAAGGAAAGAAAAGGCCCAAATCCATGCAATTAGTAATGAAAAGGGTGAAATTAACAATGGACCCAGCAGAAACCCATAGGATCATCAATACTTACTTCAAGAACCAATACACTAATAAGAAGGAAAACACAGAAGAAATAGACAGATTCCTAGATATGTATGAATTACCAAAGTTGAACAAAGAAGACTTAAAAATTCTTAATGACCCAATATCAATCAATGGAATTGAAAACTTACCAACTAAGAAAAGCCTGGGTCCTGAAGGCTTCATTGCTGAATTCTGCAAGACATTTAGAGAGGAACTACTGCCACTACTGTTTAAACTCTTCAATGAACTTGAAAGGGAAGCTATTCTCCCAAATTCATTCCTGGAACCAAGCATCACCTTGATCCAAAAAGCAGAGAAAGACCCAACCTAAAAAGAGACCTACAGGCCAATCTCAATAATGAATTTAGATGCAAAAATCCTTAATAAGATACTGGCAAATGAATGCAGAAGATCATCAAGAAGATCATAC